GACTAAGGCGTTGTAAACTGTTGTTTTTGCAAGCTTAGTGGAACAGTGGACTATAGGAACACGTTGTTCCTTGAACCACTATAAAAATCCCCGGTGTCATTTACTTACTGCATTTTACTTATAGTTTTCATTTGAACTGTTTAACTTCAAAGACTTGGTATCTGTGTTCAGCAGAACTTGTATTGTGAGTTAACAGAAGGCCTACTGCCTTTGCTTCTCTGAGGCTAAACTAACAGAACCCCAAACCAGAACCCCATCCGCTGCCAGTCTGTTCTACCAACAGAACAGGTTATTCTGTTAAATCTGGTACTTAGCTTGAAAAAGTTAAAACCCAATACAGTCTATTCACCCCCCCCCCCTCTAGACTTTATCCAGTACAACCGGGACCAACAACTATTTTACACTTTTTGGAATGCATTACACCATACTTACACAGTTACACTTAAGTCAAAAATCCGCTTTGTTATGCTAGTATACAGTACGTAGTACTCTGTATATAGTTAGTTTACAAGGTAGAACCAATGATTTGTTTGGCCAACAACCACTTTGATTTGTTGCTTTGCACGTGCAAAAGGTTTACTTACGGTCCGTATACATACATGCATACTCCCTCCGTCCCTTAAAACTTTGTTAACTTTCCTTTTTTGGATGTCCCACTAACTTTGCCACTTTCCCTTTTAAGTAAAGAATTTGTGGTTCCAGTTAATTCTCTCTCCTCTGTACAAATCTAAACCACATAATTTTTTACTTTGATAATCCCCATACCGGTCAAACATGGCAAAGTTTTAAGGGACGGAGGTAGTACTCCCTCCGTCCCGGAATTATCTTCATTCTTTCCTTTTCGATCCATCCCAAATTTATCTCCTCTTTCCTTTTTTGACAAAAAAATTTGTGGTTCACAACCATTCTTACACATTTCTCTTTCCTCTGCACAACTCTCCACCACACATTTCCCAATATCTTAAAACCCGTGCCCGGTCAAATAAGGAGATAATTCCGAGACGGAGGTAGTATTTTTTTTGGAGGCCATCTCTAGTCAACCTATTATTGAAATAGTTACCTCCTATTGAAATACTTCTCTCGCCCGTACAGTTGGAAGCTTTCGAATGTCTGATTCCCCATTTGGTTAGGAACTCCTCAAATCCCTTGCCGAAGATTGTCGCCGTTGTCAGTGATGACCTGTTCGGGTAGTCCAAACCGTCATATGATGTTTTGCCAGACAAAGTGTTGGCATTGGAACTCCGTGATTCTGGCCATAGTTTAGCTTTTGACCCATTTCGTAAAATAGTGTATCCCTACTATGATGTACTTCTTCTTCTGAACGCGGTAGGCAGGGGACCTAGCAAGTTGATCCCCTACCTCACGAACGGCAAAACTGTGGTCATTGGCGTGTAGAACTGTTCGGTCGTCCGGGTATTAGGGCATACTGTTGGCAGATCTTACAAGACCGGGTGTGGTGGAAACAATCTTGTTGAATGGTTAACCAATAGTACCCTTGTAGGATGATCTTTCTTGCCGATGTTTTTGGCCCTTGGTGACTCGAACAAATCCCCTCATGAATCTCCTCCATCAGCTTATGTGCGGTCATACTCATTTACTCCAAATCGGGATCGTAATAGGATTTATTTGTTATGAATTTCAATGCTCGATGATTTAGAACCCAATCATTATATTCATACCAAAGATTGATCAAATCTTAAATACTTTCTCCATCCTGCTAAGATTGTCTCGGTTCCTATTTCTTGGAATAACTTGGAATTCCATTCATGGGGGTTGAAACTATTTCTAAAGAACGAAAGAGAAAAGCCAAAGCCAAGCTCCGTAATATGGAAGCGAAGCTTCCTATTTATAGAAGGGAGGGGGTGGCTTTCTAGCCTAATGGGCCTAACGGGCCGAAACCACCCCAAGTAGGCCGAGTGGGCCTAAATGGCTCTAAATGGGCCCGAGGGCCTAAATGGGCCTCGCCAACTGGGGTCCATACCGGGTGAAGCCTTGGGCCTCTGAACAGTAACAGGCCGGGATGATATTCCCCAACACACGTCCCCCAAATTCTTGAGTAATGAGCCCATGAATCTACTCGAGAAAGTATACTCTTGCTCACGTCCCTCTTTGCCTTCCCTGAATCGGCGTCTTCGAATAGTCTTGGACGCAAGATGCATAAGTGGCAGGTGAGGTGCAGTCCCCACACTAGACACGACGGCGCTGAAGAGCCAGCCGCTCGTGCTGCATAAAGTAACGGTTGCCATCCTAGATTAAGGATCAACGAGCCCGATCAAAAAGAAGGCACGAAGGTGCTGAAGAGCCAGCCGTTCGTGCTGCATAAAGCGGAAGTCGCCATCCTAGATCAAGGATGGATGAGCCCGACCGAATGCCAGGCATGACGGTACTGTGGAGCCCATTCGTGCTGCATAAAGCAGCGGTCGCCATCCTAGATCAAGGATGGACGAGCCTGACCGAGAGCCAGGCACGACAGTGCTGTGGAGCCCGTTCGTGCTGCATAAAAGTGGCGGTCGTCATTCCAGATCAAGGATCGACGAGCCCGACCGCGAGACTAGACACGATGGCGCTGAGGGGCGGATCGTGCTGCATAAGATGGTCCTTATGTTGCCATGGTCATTGTCATGGTCCTTACATTTCCATCGCCGAATACGAACTGGACACGATGGCGCCGAGAGGCCGATCGTGCTGCATAAGATGCTCCTTGTTGTGATATGGACTTACGTTGCCATGGTCATTGCCATGGTCCTTACATTGCCATTTCCCACATGAATGGACCTGACTCGACTCTGACAGACGTGGACCTGAAATATAGATTCGACTCGACTCGACTCTACAACATGGACTAGACTCGACTTGACTCGACAAACATGGACTCGACTCGACTCAACAAACATGGACTCGACTCGACAAACATGGACTCGACTCGACTCACCATCTTCCAACCCCATAGTTCCGATGTAACCCATCCGGTTTTCTCCGATCTGAATCATCCATACTATGGGTTTGAGATGTCCATCTTCAAACTAAAAACAAGACTCCTTGTCAGTAGCTAAAACGGAGACTCACTTCCAAGTTATAGTTTGGATTCCACCACGACGATTTTCCTTCGTCGTGGTTCGTCGGAGCTACATACCGAGGTGAGGTTTAAAAACCACTATCCCGATCCCCCGTTCGGTTACCCGTGTTACCGAATGCCGCTTGGTTCATCCTACTCATAGTTTTGACATCACCTTCAAACTGTTTTAGACCCTTTGTTTGGCTATGGCACGGTCAAAACTGAGCTAAGGTGATGGCTCCCTCCAAACTGTTAACATGTTCCTCATTCAGTCATCCGAAATGATTCTTCATGTTAACCGCTGAGGTGAGACTCTCAATGATGATCACATCATGGCGGGGTGGTCGATCGTGAAGGTATAGAAGTAGTCAAATCATCCGAAAATATAAGTCCTCTTCCGTGGAGCATGAGGATGCCTTCAAGGTGATAAACTGCATAAGACGGTGCTTCTCCCCTTGTAGAAGCGTGGGCGGACCCGACCGTGATCATGAACGTGGGAGGGCTTACAGGTGCCTCTGAACCCATGATACGATGGCGCTGAGGGGCCGATTGTACTGCATAAGATGGTGGTCCTCCCCCTGTAAAGGCATGGACGGAACCCACCATGATCAAGAATGTCTGAGGGTCTTGCAGGCGCCCTCTGCCCGTGATACGATGGCGCTGAGGAGCCGATCGTACTTCATAAGATGGTGTTCCTCCTCCTGTAAAGGCATGGGCGGAACCTACCATGATCAAGAATGTGTGAGGATCTTGCAGGCGCCCTCTACCCGTGATACGATGGCGCTGAGGAGCCGATCGTACTGCATAAGATGGTGGTCCTCCCCCTGTAAAGGCATGGGCGGAACCCACCGTGATCAAGAATGTCCGAGGGTCTTGCAGGCGTCCTCTGCCCGTGATACGATGGCGCTAAGGAGCCGATCGTACTGCATAAGACGGTGGTCCTCCTCCTGTAAAGGCATGGGCGGAACCCACCGTGACCAAGAATGTGTGAGGGTCTTGCAGGCGCCCTCTGCCCGTGATATGATGGCGCTGAGGAGCCGATCGTACTACATAAGATGGTGATCCTCCTCTTGTAGAGGCATGGGTGGAACCCACCGTGATCAAGAATGTGTGAAGGTCTTGCAGGCGCCCTCTGCCCGTGAAGCTTGCTCTAGGTGCCGAACGGTGGGGCCGGATTGCTAGTCATGGAGTGCCAACCTCTGGGACTCTCTGTCCTTTTTTCCATGATCGTATTTATGCACCATGTCGAACGTCATTGATCTTCGCTCGAGCATATCGCTTGATTGTGATTTCTTTTCCTTTTCCGGTCATGAACGTCTTCGCGCTTCATGCCAACATCATGGATCTCCTAGCTCGAACATATCGAACGGCTCTAAATGAATGTGATTATTTTCTCGTTTCCAGTCATGAACATCTACGCGCTTCATGTCGAATCATCATGAACATCTCTGTGCTTCATGATCTCCTGTTCGAGCTAACCGAGCGACTCTGAATGAATGTGATTCTTTTCTCGTCTCCAGTCATGAACGTCTACGCGCTTCATGCTGAATTGTCATGAACATCTATGTGCTTCATGATCTCCCCCGTTCAAGAATATCGAACGAATTCATTGCACAATCAGCATGGTAATATGGCCATACGGCTGAACAACACATATAAACATACAATTTATCTGTAACATATTTTCTCTTTAATTTATGATTACCGGCCGAAGTGGTATAATAAACCTCGGCCTAGATTCATTTTTTGCACTGCCCAGGTGCTATCAGAACCACCTAGTGGTTTGCCGGGCTCTTTTCAAAATAGCCCTAACTAATCAAAGTACGTACTTCGCCCCATACTGGGCATGGTTGCCGTTCGGTCACTTGGTGCCGAGCAAAACCATGTACGATTTTTAAATTAAAATGTGTCATCGGGCAACGCCTTTGCGAGACACTCTCAGTCAGCTAATTTGAGCCGATCGGGATAGGCCGATAGGCCTTACTAAATCCAGTCATTTATCTAAATGACGGTAAAGTCATCACCAGAGCTTCACTCAGTCATTATTTAATTCGGGATATTTTTAACCCCTATTAAATAATGAAGATAACAAACATTCCTAAAAATGCTATTTGAAATTAATTCGTAAGTGAGAGATTGGGTAGTTAGCTGAATAAGGCTGATGTTCAGCTGTCGGACCAAGTTATTCGCCCAGAGATTTTAATTGGCCGAAGGTGATCCACTCCAATAGTCCGTGAGGCAGCCTCCTTCTCAAGAGCATGCCCCAGCCCCATAAGTAAGGGAACTTATGGATTTTAGTTCGGCCCATATTGTTTAGCAGCCTAGTCAACTACTGGCCCGTATCAATGCCCCTTCACATTTGGACGATCGAGAATTCAAAAGCCATTCCAACCCCTCGTGCAAGTCCTTTAACGGCCAGTTAGAGTATGACCAAAGACGAAGTCCAGACACTCCACGCGGAAGTGCCGATCGGGGAACTACCGGTCGGCAGAAGGCTGGACGGTGTGCATCCGGACGGCGTGATGCTGGGATCGATCCAGACGGTGAATAACCTGAAGCTCTACGTTCGGTGGATGTGCCTAGTCGCCTGGTCGGCTGAGATCTACTCGTCCAGAAGACGGTCAGCATTTCGGCACTTTCTGCTTCCTCCATGGCCTGCTGCATGATTTCCTCTAGACTTATCTAGGGAAATTAGCTTTGTTTCTCGTTGATCTGAAAGGTCGTCAAAGGTTGGACGGTCACTGTCGTTCGACAAGATACATGTTTTAGACTTGGTCAGTAGATACTGTTCGTCCAGTGAGGAGTGACGATTCACCATTCAAGAGTGGGGAGCTGGGCGTTCACCGGGTATCCCGTTCGGGAGTTTTAGTCTCTTAGAAAATCTGGAGTTGCTTTCTGCTGTCATACCCGGTAGCCGCAACTCCTGGCCGAATAAAAAATTTTCCTTTAAAGGTCGTTCGTGTAATTTCTCTCACAGGACTGCTAATGCTTTGGAGCTCGTTCGAGTAACCTCCTGTACAGGACTGTCCATGTTCTCATCTGGTTAATTGTCAAAATGAATAGGCAGAGGAGCTTCCATCACGGACTGGTTCTGCATACTTCCGTCCGGTAAACGCCAACTTCCCTCAAATGAAGTCTGGAGCAACGTCGATGGCAGGTCCTAGCTGAGGAGCAGTTCTCATGCCCCAAAACTTTTCTACCGTTCGGGATGGATCTGTCGTTCGGGATCCAGCGTTAGCTTGGGCGCTCAGGCAGTTGTCGTTCGGGATCCGGTGTCATATCTTAGGATTATGATGAGTCTGTCAAGTCACCCACTTGTGTTGTGACTTGACAGACTCCACTCAACTCTATCCACACGTGGGAGATGGTGACAAATCGAGTGGTGGGCTCCTGGTTCATCATTTTCTTCAAACACCAGTAGCTCCAACAACCCAAATTGCGTCATAGTTCATGATCGTCCGTGGTAAGCCTACCACGAAGCCCATAGTAGCATGTTCTCACTTCCATTCAAGAATGGAAAGTGGCTGTAATAACCCAGTTGGATGATGATGTTCTGCCTTAACTTGCAGACAAGTAAGACATCTACTGATATACTCGGCTAATTCCCTCTTCATACCAGACCACCAGTAACTTTCTTTCAAATCACGATACATTTTCGTACCTCCCGGGTGCATGGCATACGCCGATGAGTGGGCCTCCTCTAAGATGGACTTTCGGAGCTCATCATCCGACGGTACACACACTCGGTCACGAAATAATAAGAGACCATTATCTCTTTCCCTGAAATCCTCAACCGGTCCCGCTAGCATGCGTTCACGGACCTTCACAAGCTCTTCGTCAGTTTCTTGACCCTTCTTGATTTCATCAAGTAATGTGGGTCTCACCTCGAATCTGGCTAACAAGGCGCCATCGCTAGATACCTCCAATTGAGCTCTCAATGCCCTCAGGCTAGTTAGCAATGCTCACGATGAGCTCTTTCGGCTCAAGGCATCCGCTACCACATTGGCTTTACTGGGATGGTACTCAATAACTAGATGGTAGTCTTTTATCAACTCCATCCACCGTCTCTGTCTCATGTTTAACTCTTTCTGAGTAAACACGTACTTCAAGCTTTTATGGTTAGTGTATATGTGACATGTCTCCCCGTAGAGATAATGTCTCCAAATCTTCCGTGCAAATACCACTGCCCCCAACTCTAGATCACGAATAGGATAATTTACCTCATGCTTCTTCAGTTTTCGTGAAGCATAGGCAATCACTGTAGACATCGTACCCCATACCCTGTTTGGGTAATGCAAGTACCGGTGCTTCGGTCAATCTCTTCTTTAGTTCTAGGAATCCCTTCTCACATCGGTCATCCCATACAAACTTAGCCCCCTTTCGAGTGAGCTTGTCAATGGCGATGCCAAAACTGAGAACGTCTCCACGAACTTCCTATAGTACCCTGCCAATCCGAGGAAGATACGAATTTCCTTGACATTCTTTGGCCTCTCCCATTCGGTAGTGGCCTCAATCTTCTTGTTATCCATGGCAATTCCCGATCCCGAAACCACATGCCCAAGAAAGCCAATCTCCCTTAGCCAAAATTCACACTTGAAAAATTTAGCATAGAGTTGCTTCTCCCGTAGTGTTTCAAGAACAAGTACCAAGTGTTCATCATGCTCCTCTTCACTCTTCGAGTAAATCAAGATGTCATATATGAACACAATAATAAACCGATCCAAGTATTTATGAAATACTCGGTTCATCAAGTCCATAAATGCCACTGAGGCGTTTGTTAACCCAAACGACATGACTAGGAACTCAAAGTGACCATACCTTGTGCGGAAAGCACTCTTCGGTATGTCATCCTCCTTTATCTTCAGTTGATGGTACCCCGACCTCAAGTCAATCTTCGAAAACACTGTTGCTCCTCCGAGCTGATCGAACAAGTCATCAATCCTAGGTAACGGATACCTATTCTTGATTGTGACCTTGTTTAGTTGACGATAGTCAATACACATACGAAACGTTCCATCTTTCTTTTTCACAAACAGAACCGGTGCTCCCCATGGGGAGTAGCTCGGTCTTATGAAACCATTATCCAACAGCTCTTGCAATTGGGTTTTCAACTCATTAAGTTCTGCGGGTGCCATCTGGTATGGCGTTATGGTGATTGGTTTTGTGTCGGGTTCAACCTCGATCACGAACTCAATCTCTCTATCGGGTGGAAATCCCGGTAGGTCTTTTGGGAAGTCGTCTGGGTACTTACAAACCACCCTTACATCGTCGATGTTCGGTTCCTCCTTAGTTTTGTCAACCATGTATGCTAGATATGCATGGCATCCCTTTCTCATCATACTCCTCTCTCTCACGGCGGATATGATGCAACTATTTGATTTCCCTCAATCACCCTCGAAGCATAGGGCATTCCCATCATTGCCTTCGAGTTCTAGAACCTTCGTGTAGCAATCTACCCTAGCATGATGCTTTTCTAGCCAATCCATCCCTAAGATCGCATCAAAATCAATCATGCTCAGCGGTATGAAATCACACGTCAAGGTTTGGCCATCGACTTCCACCTCACAAGATGGATAATAACAAGTTATCTCAACGTCATCTCCTAGTGGTGTTGATACCACTAGGGTTTGTGCCATCGGTATTAAGTGTATCCCTAAGCCTTCAGGATCAAGGAAAGGTCTTAACGTCACAAAACATCATGAAAACCCCTATGTTAGGCAGCCTGGGTGCCACGCACGGCGTGCGTAGGAGGCATGCACGCGTGCGTGGCTTCGGTCTTCACCTGGCGCTACTGCCCTCCACGCACAGGGGACACACGGAGGTACGCACGGGGTGACGCACGCGTGCGTCCGGGTACGCACACGCACGGCCGTGCGTGGAGTAATTTCTCTTCGAAAGCCAACTACCCCCACGCACGGAGGAACGCACGCGTACGTCCGTCCATGTGTGGAAAACGATTTTTTCTTCAGAAGCACACTGCCCCCCACGCACGGAGGAACGCACGCGTGCGTCCGGCCGTGCGTGGAAAAATTTTCTTCAGTCCGTGTGAAACCTCCCGGTTCGTCCCCGGGTCAGTACTCTATACGGCTATAAAGTACTGGTGTGGATGGAATCTAATAGATATACAACAAGTATTTCAAACACAAGACCCTCAAATAGGGTGATAATATAATCTAGGCCGTAACCCCAAGTTACCCCTTTTCAAAAATATACTTACTTTATATACAAAGTCAAGTAGTTGACCCGTAGGCCCAAGGTTTGTTTACAAAACATCAACTCAATACCCCGTGACTACCAGTCACAACAATTCATAGGGTCCAACCCTAAGACATATGTTTAAATTTCTAGAGTCCAACTCAAGTACATCACCATGCAAATCATATGACACAAGTAAATTACTCCACCGTGCATTTCTAGAGTCCAACTCAAGTACATCACCATGCACACCATAGGCTACAGCCTCAAATCTCTCATGCATTTCTAGAGTCCAACTCAAGTACATCACCATGCATGTCATCAATCACAACCCCTTGTCTACACATGCACTTCTAGAGTCCAATTCAAGTACATCACCGTGTCATGGCATAGACTCAATTCCTAAGCAAAACTATGCCAAGAATTGAGATATCAATAATCTATTTTGGGACATCCTTAAGGACTGACCATAACATGATCTTAGCATCATATTAAATCAATTTAGTCACTTGAATCACATTCAAGTACATCACTCACAATCAAATCCTTACATTCAATTCCTTAACAATTACAAACAATCATTAACTAGTATTTCAATACTATTAAGATTATTCCTATCAATCAAATATTCCATTTGTAAATCCCTACATATTTAGAGATATGTAGCAGCAACTTAAGCATCCAATGTAATACATAAATATTCATTTATGTATCTACACAATTCACACATGAGTAAAAATGCCTATTTTACATTATAGTTCATTATTAGCTCATTTAACTCCATTTTTATCAATATATGATTCCAAATCATTTCCAATTTCATTACTTATCAAATATATCAATATTTCATCAATAATCAGTCATCATAATCCATGAAAAACATGATTTAGACATTTACGTAATCTCATGCTTAACCTACAAGTTGTAAGCAACTAGATGTCGATCCTCACCCCAAATGAGCTTTAAACATTTCCTTCTCAATCCAATGCTCAAAGCTTCGGCCAAGGAAGTTTGAGAACTGATTCCTTGCTTAGAATTGATTGTTAGGCAGCCTCCTCTAGTTGCTAGTTCAACTCCTAACCGATGATACAAAAACAGCCCCTAGAATGGGTGTTTTCCGGCGAAATCACTTTCTATCCTTTCAAGGTTTGTTCTAGGTTAGCATTTAACATTTACTTTTATAGCAACCTTATAGGGAACATATTATACACTTCCAATAGTGTATAATAGCTCCACCAATCTTTCATATCATTTAGATAATGAAAAGGGAGATTTTGGGTTCAAACTTACTATGAATGCAAAAACGTATTCAGCGAGGTATCGTTGTCCTTCGATGATTTTGAGGCCTTAAACTGCTCCGTTTTCTTCAAACCGCACGCCTACGGATTCCTTATCTTGAGATCTTTCAGTAGACACCTCACACGCCCTTTTTGGATGAGTGTGGCTCCATATATGGATCAAATAGTGAATTCCACGAACTGGAAAATATCTCTGCGGCCAACTCCCCTTTCTCTTCCTTTCTTGAGTTGTGTGGCTCCTCTTTCCTCCCTTATCTTTGGTGCTCGAATTTTGGGGGTTTGAAAGAGTGTCTAAGAGTCTTCAATCATGCTAACTACGCATGTGGTTCACAAAGGAAGCATGGGAGATATTTGATTTGCATTCAAATATGGGGTGGACCTCCCTCATTTATCTCTTTTTGTAATGTATTGCTCTTAAGTCAACATGTCCGCCCCATATAGTCATCTCACTCATTTTTCTTTGTCTTACAGGTACTCAAGTGATGTGGAGTGTTTCTCATATGATCCCAATCAATTTGGGGTCCAAAATATCTACCAATACTTCCAATTTTGTTTTTTGATAATCCAGGTGTCGGGGCTTACGCTCCCATAATCCTGGAGTCTATGAACTACCCTCCAAAGCCCCTAGACAGTTAAGTCCGGATCTGATCACAGTCAGCCTCGTCAGTACTGGCTCCAAAGGACGAATCCAGCAGGACTTACATCACCTTTCAGGCTGCTCCTCCCACCACACGAACCCGCTACCTTCATTATCATCCTCTCCCTTCTCAGCCGCTGAGCAACTCCGTGAAGCTAGGGAGAATCATTGGGAGCAAGACCTCCCTCATCTCCCTTGGTGGTAATTGAACCCAAGACCTCCCACAAAGGAGAGACTTGGGGGTGGATGGTCATCCATTGGACTACACCCACCTTCCCATCTACCAATACTTCCAAAAATGGAAAGATGGGTCCTATTATTTTATCTTTTGTCATAAGATGTCCTCTTTGTGCTCT